GCCTGGGAAATGCAGGGTTACTATCCCTTTCTTACAGATGGGAGAAGCAGGGCCCGCAGAGATGAAGTCTTTGTCTTTTCAAAATTAGCCCAAGCCAGACACCTCCTCCCTGGTGCCTTTCCAAGGGTGGCTGATCGTGGATTTAGACCCAGCCTAAGAAAGGTGGCTGAACACTTAGTTTAATTAGATGACTTAATTAATCCTGTTAGGCAGAGGGGGCCAATCAGACATCTCTCCCCGTGTCTCTCTACAGCCAGGGGAGAGGACAGCTGTGGTCCGCATCTGCTCTGACACAGCTGGGGGCAGACCCCAAACCGAGCTCAAGGTTGTGCAGCAAGTGAGGCAGCGTCCGAGCCAGGGTCAGGACCGGGGCCTCCTAGCTCCTGTGGGTTTAGCCACGGGGTCAACATTTTGGGGGCACGAGCAGAGATGCTCCTTGTGAGCGGTTGATGGATGGAGATGCTCCCGGTCGATGGTAGCTGATGTCTACCACAGCTCACAGATGGGGCTGGAGGTGACCGCAGAGCCACGGCCCCATTGTGGGTCCCTCCGCAGGGGAGAGGGTGGCAGGCTGGGCTCCCTCTGCTCTCTCCTCTTCCAGGGCAGGGCGCTTCCCCTCCAAACGGACCGGACCGCACCGCAGTTGGTGGAGGTTGCGGCATCATCGGGGTCTGACCACGGCCAACAACTCCCAGCTCTTTCGGCCAGGTGCCTGCCTTCCCCGCGCTCTGGGGCAGAGGGATGAGACGCGGGGAGGGTCAATAAGGAGGAGGGTTCAAAGCACCGCCTGGCAGCTGAGACTAGGCACCACCTGGGGTGGACGGCAGAGATGGGGGCACTCCTGCCTTAGTTTCCCCACCTGTAAATGGGGACACACTGAAGACAGTCCAGTGGAGGGCAATGAAAAGGGTTGGGGGGCTTATGAGGAGAGGCTGCGGGACCTGGGCTGGAAAAGAGACGGCGGAGGGGGATCGCATAGCAGGGGGGCTGCTCCGGGCGCGGGCAGACGACAGAAGAAGGAGCAGCAGCAGGGCTAGCTTTGGGAAGGCTGGCCTCCCTAGGCGGGTAGGCAAACGCGGGGCAGGAGGTGGGATCCCCATCCCGGGAGGCTGTGAAGACCCAAGCCTCCTGAGCCCCTTCCAGCCCGGCCCGGC